AACTTGATGTGTCGAAGTGTCCTATAGTTTCCTGGTCATATTTACTTCAGGAAAGTACAGACATGACAGGACAGAGACATTATGTTGCTCTTCCAAATAAAACCTGTCCTGAGTCTACAGAGTACATAGCAGACACTCTGCATGATGGGGAAAAAAAAAAAGTAAAGAGAAATTTGCTTTGTTTACACATTGAGATCCATTCTGGACTTCAGCATTATGTGGCATCTTTGTGGGTTTAACTTGTAAAACTAGACAGAATTGCATCACTGACTTTTCTAGTGGGATGCAATGATGCGATCTTTTGGAGAAGCTGACCCAGGGGTGCCATTAAATGCAATTCAGATTCCAGACTGCTTTGAAAATTTTCTAACTTCATCTGTCGATGGTTTTATTGGATGCATATATACTGAGCTAGACACTTCAGTGAACAAGATGCAGTGTCTACCCTACGGGTGGCTCAGGAACTCATAGGAAATGTGGACAGATATGGCGGAGAACACTTCAGGGGCTACTGCAAAAAGAATATGGGTGTAGGCTAGGAAATGAAGGCTGAAGATACACTAGCCGGGAGGTCCAGGGTGTAAAAATGATCAGATGAAAGTTGGGGAGGTAAGTGGGGACTTCAGCATCCGCTGAAATGAGAAGATTGGCTTATGGAGGGCTGAGAGACCTAAAAAGACGTAAACACTTTAGGTCAATAGCTTTGTCGTATAGAGAATGGGCCAGAAAGAGTCAAGATCTACCTGTAAGCTCTACCTCTATGTAACTGAATAAAATAGGGGCTGGGAAGATTGCTCTGTAGGTAAAGTACTTCCTGCATAGTCAAGAGAGCCCGCGATGAGACCCCCATCATCCACATAAGAGTTGGGGCTGATGAGAGTGGGGGAGTTGATTGGGGGAGGGGGAGGGATGTGGGAGGCGGTGGCAGGGAAGAGACAGAAATCTTTAATAAATAAATAAATAATTAAAAAAAGAAGAAAAAAGAGTTGGACACAGTACACATCTGTAACCCTGTTCTAGGGGTGGGATAGGGTATACTCCAGGGACTTGCTCCTCAAAACAGTGAGTTTTGAGGCTAGTGAAAGACTGTCTCAAAACAATGAATAGTAGAGAGAAAGGGGAAGCCACTTGACAGTGATCTCGGTCCTCTACACGTGTACACACTGGCAAGTGCACCCCCTACATGTGCACACACAGCACACATACATATGCACCAAATAAAATAGTGTCCCTGGCCTCAAACAGACAAACATGCCAAGGAGAAAGAGCCAAGCAGGCAGAGTGCGCTGAAATCAGGGCAGGGGCAGAAGAGAGGTCAAGCAAGGTAAAAGCAACAGAGAACTGCACTCTGGTCTGTGATGAGGGAAAACACCTGTGCACTTGTCTGTACTAGAGGAAGAGAACAGCACTCTTGTCTGTGATGTAGGAAAGAAGTTTATCTCCAGATACAACCTCCAGATGAATAGTTTTGGATTTTTGCCATCCTTGCAGGTGATAAACAAAGGACTCTTCGTCCTTGGATCCCTGATAGCCATTGGAAGTGCCTACCTACTTGTGCACCACCTGTCCCCGAGACCTCTGGAATTCTTGAGAAGGCCAGCATGGACTGGAACCACTGACTACTGGAATAGAAGCACAGGTGTCTTCCAGCAAGTTCCATGGAGTCACTAGGACAAACCAGAGCGTCAAGGTTCTGAGGAGCAAGGATTTGTTCTCTCTCCAAAACTAAGGACAAGAAGCATGTTTACTTTGGCACATTTAATTCACTACTGGAAAATAATTGTCAGCATGTAATTAAGTTTGCTGTAGAATGTTTGTATCTGCCGAGCAAAGGGAAATGCTACTGCTGGTTTTTTGTAGTGTTTCCATCACTTTGCATGCTTGGGCTGGGTCCATTTAAATTTAAAAATGTAAGAACCGAGGTCTCTTTCACTTCTCAAAAACAGTTTTTTTTTTTTCTATACAGGACATTATAGGAGCAACAACACTCAGAACTGAAAACCACAGCTTGCCTAGTGTGCTGCTTCCTCTTTGTAGCGGTAGATGGGGCCTGCCTAACCCCAGGAACAGGGCACTTGCTAAAACCAGGGGTGCGAATGAGAGGCAGGGCGTTTCAAAGAGTTCCCGGATGAATCTGTTCTATTCCCCAGTCTTCAGATAGCAGAATTATTACCTTTTAAAGATAAGAAAGGGATTCATGCCATCCTAAGTGAAGAATAAGAAAGGGTTGTTATTAGTAACTGAAATATATCTATTTCAGGAGTGAAAAGGAGATGGGAAGGCTGTCTTACAGACACATGGAGACATAGTTCATTCCGTTTCAGACACGGAAGCCGTGCCTTGAATGTCACACTGTGACAGTTAACTTCATCTTTAAAGTGCAGTGTGGAGACGCTGGTTTTTCTTTCAGTAGGCTGACTGGTACACTTGAAAATTCTTTTCAAATATTATTAATTTTGAAAGCTATGATACCAGTGATGTAGGAAAGAAATATTGGGGTGATAAAGATGAAACAATTTGGCATTTTCCATAGTCTCAAAGAAGTCCTTGAGCCTTATTCATTTAGGTTTGGTGTGTAAGGAAAGAAAGAAATTGTTTCCGTGGAAAAGGGATGTAGGTCAGTGGTAGAGTGCTTACTTAGCGTGCCCAGAGCCCTGGGTTAGATTCCCTAGCATTGCAAAAATAAACAAACAGTATCATTGTTCCTTTTATTTAAGTTTGTTGGCTGTGGCTACTATAACAGGCAGACTGACAATCGGAAACAAACTACAGTTTAGAAGCATGTATATTTCATATGCACGTGCGAGACACTCAGAAAATGAGCTGGCTTAGGGGCCGGAGAGATTGCTCAGCTGTCAAGTGCGTGCACCACTCTTGCAGAGAGCACCAGATCCTAGCTTCCCTGTCAGGCAGCTCGCACCTGCCCATTAATCCAGCTCCAGGAGGTCCAATGCCTCTGGCTTCCCTGGGTTCCTGCGCCCATGGGTACATAACCACATATAGACTAACCCCCATGATTAAAAACCTTTAGAGGCCGTGATTTCTATTAGTACCAACGGGGTGCATGGGAGGAATCGGAGGGAAGAAAGTGAGGGCAAAAAGTGATGTAATTTTATTTTAAGTTAAAAAAATATTTAAAAGAGGGGAATCTCTGTGATACATAATGTTGTGAGGAATGAGCTAAAATAAACATCGAGTACATTTAAAAACATCTTAAAATAACGTAGGCTCATATAGAAAGCCCTGGTTTATGTCATCTTCAACAAGAAGTTACAGAGCCATAAAAAGACAAGGGCAAAGGACTGGAAGCCCTGGAGTAGCAATCCCAAGGCCACTTTGGCAAGTGGTGGGTGGGGACACTTTTCTTCTCTCATTTCTTCTCATTGACTTTCCGCTCAAGGTAACCCTGCGAAATGGAGCACATGTGGGGGTAGTATATTCTGTTCTCCTTCAGGTATGGGCAATGACACATGAGAAGATGTCCTCTTCACTAGCATGGCCCATTAGTGACCCAGGAGTCTACTGATATGCGATGAGAATTTAAAACCACATTATATGAAGCTGGCGAGGTGGCTCAGTGAGAGAAGGTGCTTGCTGCCAAGCCTGATGACCTGAGTTCGATGCCCGAGATCACCTGGTAGAAGAAGAGAACTGTTTCCCCGCAAGCTGTCCTCTGATTTCCACACGCACAATACGATATGAGTGTGTGCATGCACATGCACACACGCATGCAATAATAAATAACTGTACTAAAATTTAAATAATGCTGCATGGTATTCGGACACTAACACATTTATTTTCAGCCCTCTCTGAATGTATCTTTGTTTACTGGGAACTCCTCTGTAGGTGCAGGACTTTTGACAAAATAGTAGGAAATTATCAAAAGGAAAGGAGAATTTGCCAAACTAATTTCTGAAAAGGATACATGGAGGCATCAAAAGATCCTTAACACTCCTTTTCCCATGCATGCTCTCCACTGTGGTATCATTAACCATCCGCATGACCAGCGTGAAGTCTCTCTGCTTTTCTACAAAGCTTCTTAAAGTGTCTTCTGAAACTTGCTTCCTTAACCCGATGCCCTGGCAGTCATACAACACACATGACAAGAGCCTTAGGTTTTCAGATAAAAGTGGGGATTGATTTATTACCTCCTTAATCAATTGAATTGGGCAAACATACAGCATGACACAGACTAGGACCCAACACCGTAACATAGTTCCGATGTCCCAGCCATTGCACACGTGTCTATGAGACAGTTATTTATTTACACAGTGAAATATATCGGAGAAACAAAACGTATCATGTGCTTTGGCAAATATGGTCATTCAAATGTTAAATCCTGGCATAGTAGACGATGGTGCCAGATGCTCAACTTGTGCCACCAGGAGTTTCTCATGTTGTAAAGCACCCATTGAATGAAAAATAATGTGTCTTGTTCAGTCAGTTCTTCAAGACAGACAACATGTAGTCAGTTCAGATGTCCTGCTAGGCCACAAGGTTGTGCTGTTACTGTGCCAAGTGGGGACTCCAGGGCGGTCCTTAGAGTAGACGTTGTGTGGCAATGGATACAGGACTCCATCTCCCATTCTTACAAAGGACGAACTTGGATGACATCGGCCTTGGACGCATTGGTTCTGTCGCTGTCATCGACAGACAGGGAGTCATCACTGGTGATGATAAAGATGATGGAAGAGGAGTTAAAGGTCACTTTCTTCTTCGGCCTGTCCCCATCTTTCTGTGACATCACAATGGGCCTGATCTGCATCTCGCTCTCAGCTGCTGGCAGGTTTTTAGCAGGCCGCTGGCATCTCAGCAGTCGGAAGCACAAGAGCTGGAGAAGGGACCTCCGAAACTGCAGAGAAAAGTGGAGCAATAAAGCCAATTATTAAATGAATCCTTAATCAGTTAAGTGATCCTTAATCTGGAGTAAAATTGAAGACAACTAGTTGAGATTCTCTCTCTCTCTCCCCCCCCTCTCTCTGTCTCTCTCTCTGTCTGTGTGTGTGTGTGTGTGTGTGTGTGTGTACACATGTATACACCTATGCACATGGATGCTAAAGCCAATCTCAGGTGACATACATCTTGTCTTTTTGTTTGTTTGTTTGTTTGTTTTGTTTTTCGAGACAGGGTTTCTCTGTTAGCTTTGGTGCCTGTCCTGGCACTAGCTCTTGTAGACCAGGTTGGCCTCGAACTCCCAGAGATCCGCCTGCCTCTGCCTCCCGACAGAGAGAGCGTGCGCCACCACCGCCCGGCTCACATCTTGTCTTTTGAGGTAGGGGCCTGAGGCTTGCCTCTTAGGCTAGGCTGGCTAGCCAGCGAGCCCACAGTGGCCCACATACGTCCATCTTCTCAGTGCTGGATTACAGACACCGCCACAGCTGGCTTTGTTTGTATGTGTTGGAGACTAAACTCAGGTCCTCTGACTTGTCATTTCCCCAGCCCCACCCCCTTTCTCATTAGATGGCATGGGATGAAGTCATCCAGTAATGCCCAGGTCTACCAAAGTCCCCCATTGACGTTTGGTCTTTTATGTACTACAATTCTTGTTCACTAGATAAAAAAAGAATATTCTAATCCTCTGTGGTATCCATGGTTCCAATGTATATGAACCTTCTCTGAGGGCAGCTTGACCTGCAGATTTAAGGAATTCAGCCATTAACTACTCAGTGAGCAGCCCGAGTGATGACTACTGGGCTGAGATCTGGAGACACTACTCACAGCAGACAAGGGCTTCTTCTGTGTTTCTGAGACCTCTCGGGTTTCCTCCCTGCTCTTCCACTTCTACAAGAGCCTGAGTGACCAAGGTCAAACAGACAAGTACCACAAGTACAGGGGACATTTACTGACTGCACAGAAACACCCTGTCATGAGGTATTGCGCCATCTACAGTCTCTGGCCTCATAACAGATATTGCTTCTTTGTCACTGGGCTAAAAGGCTGAGATGTTTGCTAAGCATTAAGTCAGCTGCAGCCAACAAAGCATCCTCATGCCAAGTCAGCATGTTAGCCTTTGTACAGAGTATCCGTATGCCAAGTCAGCATGTTAGCCTTTGTACAGAGTATCCGTATGCCAAGTCAACATGTTAGCCTTTTTGTTTAATGCAGGGACTTTCGCAGGTCAGAAAACACCAATAAAGAGATACATTGATTTCTATGTTTTTTAGTGTCCCCACCAACTATATGCAGGGCACATTTAGCTTACAATCGATGACAAATTCAGCAAATCACTATTTTACAAGGCAAGTTCAGTGCTCGGGATACATTGCTGTTGGCATTGAGTGAAGTCTGTAGGCCAGAATGCTTCCTCACATTCAGCTCCTTATGGGAAGAAGGACTCCCACTTGCTTCTGTCAGTCTGTTGTGTTGCTCAGGATTACTGTGTAAAGTGGACTAACGGGAGTCAGAATCATCAGGACCCTTGGGGAGCTCGTCAGAAATGCAGAGTGCCAGGAAGCCAGACATTGTGAGTCAGAAGGGACACTTTTAAAGTATACTTTCAGATTTGGTGAAATCATATTCACGTTTAGAAGCTTTGATTCATAATTCATTGGCTGGAAGAAAAGGCACAAACAAATGCTTTTTGGTGAGTGCATTAAGTTTTGCCTACTGTGCCAGTGGTGTTATGTCTCAGAATCTATAAGTGGAGTATGGGATAAAGTTATTGTCTATTTTGTTTTGACGATATTGGGTGGAACCCGCATACTATTCTAATTTTTAATTATTATTTGAGTGATAACGTTTATTACTAGTATGTACAAACTATTTTCTTGTAAACTAACTATTAAGAAGTATCACTTAACAATTACTATACATATATTGGTAGATTTTTATAACTGCTTTTTTCCTTTGGGAATATTCTACATTTCTTCTTAAATCTTTGATTTTTTATTTCTTTCTTAAAAGACTCTTTATTTTATTATTTATGTATGTATATGGTGTGTGTGTGTGTGTGTGTGTGTGTGTGAACACATGTTTGTTGATACCTGCAGAGGCCAGAAGAGGGCATTGGATTCCCTGGAGCCAAAATTACAGCACCTGTGAACCACCTGACATGGGACTCAAATTCTAGTCCACTAGAAGAGGAAAGACACCCTTAACCTCTGAGCCATCTCCCCAGCACACTAATACAAAATTCTTAAGTTGGGGTTTTGTTTCTTTAGATTTATTTTATCCTTGATACTGTTCTAAGTTGTCATACCACATAAAATCTATTTCTTTTTTTAAACACTTAATTTTATTTTAGGTACATTGGTGTGAGGGTTTCAGATTCCTTGGGCCCAGAGTTACAGATAGTTGTGAGCTGCCATGTGGGTGCTGGGAATTGAACCCGGGTCCTCTGGAAAAGCAGCCAGTACTCTTAACCACCGAGCCATCTCTCCAGCCCATGAAACCTATTTCTATTTGTTCCCCGGGGTGAAAGCGAGTCAATTCCAGAGCTTACCTTTCTGATCATGAAGATATAGATAACTGGATTGTACACAGTACTCGATTTAGCAAAGAGATAAGCAACAATAGACACAGTTGGGGTGACTAGGTGTCCGTAGCCATTAACCACCAAGAAGCGGGTCACAATATAAGGCATCCAGCAGGTGAGAAAGACGAAGGCCATCAAAAAGCTCATTTTGGCCACTTTCTTTTCATATCTTAAGATTTTGATCACTTGGATTGTCTGGAGATCTTCGACACAGCGTAGCTGGAGGGAGTGAAGAAAGGATGGACATTTCTTTTTAAGCAGATAAGCAGTCAGCCTGTGTGTCCTGCCTTCATGGAAATAGACAGGAGACGGACTGACTTCTGACCTGTAGTTGACCTAGCCTTTCTCTCTTCTGGGCTTCAGTTCCTTCAACTAAAAGACAGATATTAATTATAGATTAATAAAATAAGATCTAAATAGCTTCTGAGGACATTCGGGGGGAGGGTGAGAAAGAGGGAAGCAGGGGGAGAAGAAGCAGGGTGGGCACACACACCCACAGCACATGTGTGGAGCTCAGAAGACAACATCCGGTGTAGGTTCCTGCCTTCCACCTTGTCTGAGATGAGATTGGGTTTCTCTGGCCTGTTTCTAGAGACTCTCCTGTCTCTGCCTCTTATCCTGCTATAGAATCACTGGTGTCACAGATACATATCACTTCATTGTACCTGGGTTTGCATAGATTCTACAGATTCCAAAAACAGTCCCTCATACTTAAACAGCAATTGCTTTACCGACTGAACCATCTCACAAGCTCCCTTTAATGGTTTTTGACTTACTTAATAAGGCTAAGTAATACATTATTTTATCTAGATCTTCAAATCCCTAAAACACAGCCCGAAAGGCTTGTGGTCAAATGGAAACAATCTCTTCATGACTGAGGAAACTGTTTTGTCCAAAGCACTGATTCATAAATTCTCCAGCCAGATAACGGACTTATGCCATGCCAGACATGCTAAAGAGAGAAGCCTGCAACTCGAGATGCAGGCAAGTCACTTGCATGAGGTGCTCTGCTAAGGTAATGACATAGGCTGACGTCAAAGCTCATTTTTAATCACTTTCCCTGTTTGCAGTCTTTCCCTTGCATCCACTCCCTTGTCTCTCCCTGACACACAGCAGTTAGGAAATTGCACACAGCTGAAATTAAAGGCGGCGTGCAGCTGTGCCTCCTGTGTCCGTCATTGCAGCCTCTTCCTGCCTGGTCCCCACATGAACCGGCTTGGTGCGTGTTCCAGTCCTTTCCAGCTCTACTAGTCTCTGACAAGTGGGTTCATGTGATTTTGAAATGAATATAATTATGGAAATTATAACCTTTCCCCCTCGGAATTCTTAACTTTTGAGAGTGCTGCATAATGTAAGTTTTGGGGTTGGTATTGTCTGTTTGCCTTTTGCTTGTTGCTTTTGGTTAAAGAGGATGGTGTACAGAAAGCCAATGTCATCCCTCAGTGACCTGCTTGGGGAATGATTCACAGTGCAAAGTTCTACCAAATGTTAAGTCCCGTTGAGTCTTTCAACCCTGGGTAAATAACTGATCATATAGGGAGAGTTTGGTTCTTTTCACATCAAATGATGGATGTGGGGATGGTTTGGAGAGGGACATCTGCAGCCTTCAACTCACCATTCGAACGGAGTACAGAATGTGACCATAGCAATGACCTATGATGCCCATGGGTACCACCAGGCAGCCAAGAAACAAGAAGAGCACGAAGGAGGAGTCGTTGGCGTCCTTGGATTTCCAATCCACCGTACAGCCCAGTCCATGTACGTCCAGGATGTATCTGTTCCAGCCCAGGAGAGGTGCTCCTGCCCATGCCAAGGAGTAGAGCCAGATATAGGTAATGGCCCTCCAGGCCCAGGAGAAGTTGATCACTCTGGAATGTACCACACGGATATAACGTTCATAGGCCAGCACAGTGAGGGTGGCAATGGAGACAAACCCTGCAAGAAGAGAAAGAGAAGTAAGGTGAACAGGGAGACATCACAGGAAAATGACACATTCCACCAGAAACACTATACAGAGAATCTGGGGCCAATAGGAAGCTTGAGAAACAGCAAGAGATTTGGAGGGATGGCAAACCAGGCTCCCCAGGAATATCAACTGGAAAGGTATTTACCTATGGAAAAAAATGTAGAATCAAAACAGAATGTGGATTGTAGGACAAAGATCAAAGCCCTAAAGTCAACCCTGCACCCAAGGATGTAGCTTCAGCACAAAGTTCTGCCAAAGAGAAAGGGTAGAAAAAAAGCAGGTGGCCCCAGCATTCACCCCACCTCTCTGCTGTGTCACGTGACTGGAGGACCCGCCAGGATAGGACCTGCTGTTTTTCACCACACCAAGACATTGAAACCCCCCCCCCCAAAACCACCAGCCTAAATAAGCCCTTCTTTCCTTTAAAATGTTTTGCCAAGGGTTTTGTCACAGTAACCAGCACAGCCTATGAGCAGACCTGGAGAAGAGCTCGTGGCCCGAGGTGATGGGCTAGCCCCAGGTTCCACAAGGCAGCTCTCACAAGGAAAACAAGACCGATTTTCTAGGAAGCATCCAGAAGGTGGGGGGGAGGGGACTTGTTAAGAGTTTTGGGGACCGTCCCAGCCCTCTCACTACCTTGCTGCTTAGCTTCCAAAATTCCAACAGTCTCTATAGGCCCCGGATTTTTGTTTTCATAAAACTGAAGATCTCTTTGCATTATAAAACTTTGTGATTCTGTTGTTAGAAAAGTGTGAGATAAAGAGATAAGACACCTGCCTCGGAATCGGGCCACGCAGTTAACATTCATTTGAATTATGCGCTTTGTATGTCACAGGGTGAAGGAGCAGCATTATTCTCAGTGTCTGATACACATGACGTCAGTAGGAATTTCTGAATAGATAACTGAGGGTTTACTATTTACTGACCAAAAGAAGCCTGGGTTCTGCAACACAGAATAACCCAACCCTAGAGAGCAGTGACCAAAAGCAAGTGGTACACCTCAATTCAAATTACAGTAAGGAATTCTGAGCGTAAATTAGATGTGCTGTCTCAGAAATGTAATTTTAGTCTATTAAAATTTCACATCACAAATGATATACCCTTTAATTAGTCTCCAAGAAAGACATCTAGAAACCTAGTTAACACATAGTAAGTTGTATTGTACCAGCAAAGTTATGTATGAAAGCCCCCTGCTGTCCATTTTACAAAACAGCTTTTGGCTCCTTTATGAGTGCAAACAGAAGCAGGATGGCTGTGCCTGTTGTACATTAAGATACCACCTGCCATTCACCACCTCCTGCCCAGCACTCACCACGACAAAGACAGTAAAACAGCACCACCTGCAAACCTCCCAAAAAAAGGGAATGTGAGCACCTGGTTTAAACCCTCAGAAAACCTCTGAGGATTTATACAACATACCAGACCCAGGGACGAATACAGCACACTCCCCTAGACCTTGGAAAGAGGCCATGCTACTGTAGGGTCACATTGACCTGTTATTGGACCACCAGCAGATGGACAGGCAGAGAATTCCTTTATATTAGTACTTCAGTCCAGCAGAGTTCCCCATTACTTGACACTGGCCTACTCAAATTGCTGTCTGTCTGACCATGGACGGGTTTTAAGTATGTCCTCTAAATGGACCTTTAGGGGAAAATCCCCATCTGATGCCTATGTGTGGGTTGGTGTGTTGAACTCTGGTAAATGAGGCTTGGTAGCAAGTGCTTTTACCTGCTGAGTTGTCCGACCGGCCTTCAATAGCAATTTGAAATGGTATTCTTTTTTTTTTTTTTTTTTTTTTGTATTTTCATCTACACTTTAAACTACCCTGTGCTGTAATCCTGGAGGCCCCCTCCTTCCTCACTGGCCACACTCTACAGTCGGATTGACTTTTAATTGAGAAGGGGACGGAGCAGGCTTTTGTAAAGAGGGAGAAGGGGTGACGGAGGAAAGCAGTGCCTGAGGGACTGGCAGATAGATCACCAGGGAAGAACGCAAAGGGAACAGAGAACGGAGAACCAGATACTTGGAAGCAAGAACAGTGTAGCCGCTGGAAGGTCTGAGGACCCTCGGACTCTATCTACCAAGTCAACTCTCAGTGGAGCTGCGCACACCGTGCCTACACTGCCAGCCGCTGGAGCTGGCAGCTTTGATAAATGCTGACGACAATCTTAGCGTGCAGGACACAGCTGTGCAAACAACTGCAGGAGCGAGGTAGGCGCTAAACAGCTGAGTCTGGACCTAGGAGGGCAAGGGGGCGGGGCTTCCTTTGCCTGGGAAATACTGGGATGGGCTATAAGAGAAGCGCGTTTTGAACAGATATGAGGAGTTTCTGAGCTGCCGCGAATGTGGACAGAAAGCAAAGCTAAGAGCTGGGGAGATGGAACTGTGGGTAAAGCGATGGCTGCACAAGTGTTGGGACCTGAGTTCTGATCCCTGCAACCCACAGAAAAGTGGGTTCAGTAACACGATCTGCAAAGACTGTCCTATAGTGAGATGGGAGGTGTGCACAAGAGACTCCCTGGAAGCTCGTGGGCCAGCTAGGTTGGCATGGGAAATGGTGAACAAGATACCCTGTCTCAAAGGCTGAAGGCAAGGACCTCTGCACCTGGGCGTGTCCTCTGACATGCCTGTACCCATACTCATGCATAAGAACACACACACCCCATGCACACAAAAAATTAAAAATATACAAAGCTACGCTATAAAAGAGGCATTCAAATGCTAATTCTCTGCACGAGCGTGAGTTAAAGAATTCTTTGACATACAGTTTGATTACGCGTTCATTTACAGCATTTAGCAACATACAATATACACACCACATGCTAGGCCCCGTGCTAGGCAGTAAGATAAAAATTATAAACAGAAACAGTTACAAAAAGATGTGATAAATACTAACCAAGGAATATGTTTGAGGCCACAGTACTATATTACAGTCCACCTTATTTTCAGAATTACCCATCTGACTCCACGAAAATTCACATATCTGGTAAAAAAAAAAAAAAAAAAAAAAAAAAAAAAAAAAAAAAAAAAAAAGATAGTGTCTCAGTGTGTGTGTGTGTGTAAATTCAACTTCATATAAAACATGAATGAACTTGGTAAAATGGTAATGGATAAAGTGTTTTTGTATGTTCGGGATAAGTTTGCTTCAGGTTGGTGCAGAGTGAGCAGAAAGCACAGAAATGGAGAATGCTTTTAAGCTTTGATGCATGCTGTGTCAGTCACAAGCTATTTCCTACTTTGGCCACTAGATGGTCACATCGAGTAGCGTATTTCTAGATGTAGGCTGGATAAGCAATTTGTACCAGAACAGAACAAATGCTTAGAGCGGTGCCGCCAACCTCGTGGGCCAGATGTCTGTATCTGTTAGAAGAGTTCGTATGGCAGTCAGCACCCATCACTCGAAGCAACCTTAATGAAAGTAGTAGGAGAAACACCTTGGTGGTGTAGGAAGAGGGATAGGAGACTGTCCCTGGGGCGTTTTAACTGGGGGGGGAAGAGGGGCGGGGACCTAATCCTATCCCGGAAGAGGTGAGGCTGAGCACTCTGCTTATCTGCGTACAGCACTGGAAAGAAGGTGATTAGAAACAAAGTTTGCTTCCTAAAGAGGCAACTCTGTTACTTCTATGGGAAATGTAAACAAAACGTGCTACTTTTTACCTCAACGGGTTAAGTAGGACAAAACCCCCTGCCACCGCAGAATTTAAAAATTCCGCCAAGGTCAGCACTTCTCTGGACATCAAGGCTGCACTCAGAGCATCAAAACTGCCTTCTGCCTAGCAAGTGTGTCACTTTAAATTAGCCAGTTTGAGGTGGAGATCAGTCAGAATGACACACAGGACCTCTTTACAGATGGATTAAAAATCCGGTGGGGCTTCTGCTGGATGTGCTTTCCTGCCTGAGGAAGCAGCCTGCTAAAGAAGTAAAACTGTTTACCTGGCAAACACACTTTAAGTCTTGTGATCATTTCAGTGAGATCCCGGGCCCCTTTGTAACAATCAGTAGTCTCCACTCATATTTGCTCATTAAGGAATAGAGGTACATTAAATATGTTTGAAAACATGCATTTGCTAGATTAAGCAAGGCGGCTGTTCTTTGACACTTTGTTTATAGACTCTATTTGTGGCAGAAGCTTCCTCACTCCTCCACCAACTTAAGGTATTGATTCCAACCTACCAACACAGAGAAGTGGATACTTACAGTGTGTCAGGGATGGTTCCCAGCAGTGGCCGGTATGTTTCATTTAAGCCTCTCAACAGATGTAGAAAGTACTGTTACCATTGCTGTTTATAAATAAGAAAACTGTAGCAAACTGACAAGTATCTTACTGACTGGCTTCAGACCCTAATAAGCAACTGAGTCTGTTTTCAAACCCCACAGCGCTTGCTTCCACAGTGCAAGTTGGGAATCGTCATTTGTCTGCAAGTGAAGCATACTGTTCAGGAAGGAGATTTCATCTGCTCACTGCTGACTACCTATGTTCCATCACCGTGTTTACCTTTGATATCAGAAGGTCCTTTTGTAAGCTCAGCGTTTTCTAAGCTGCTGAAATGATCAGTTTCCATTGAAGCAGGAAAGGCAGTTCTCCAAACACCAAAACGACGGCTGCTTTTGGTTTACCTTTTTTAGGTTTAAAAAGAAAAGTCCTAGTGTATGAGTTCCTCTTTCAAGTCCATTTCCCACGCTTTCTCAAATCCCACTGTCAACCATTTCTTCTAAAGCAGAAATCATTCTGGGTAGCAATCTATAACTCCTGTTCCGGGGGCTCAGACATTGTCTTCTGACCTCTGAGAGCATCAGGCACACACATCACGGTGTGCATGCATATATGCAGGTGAAAAATGCATCCAAATAAAAAATTTTATTTAAAAAAACCTATTTCAAATAAGCAACTTAAACAGATCTACTGTTCACTGCCCAGTAGAAATAGAGCCACTCCATGCCTGTGGTGACTTAAGACGTGGCAGTT